GGTCATGTTCGAGCCGGGCCGCTCGGTGGTCGGCAATGCCGGCCTGCTGCTGACCGAGGTGCAATACCTCAAGCATGGTGAAGAAAAGAACTTCGCCGTGGTCGATGCCGCCATGAACGATCTGATGCGTCCGGCCATGTACGAAGCCTGGCATGGCGTGCAGACCGTGAAGGAAAACGCCGGCCAGCCCCGCATCTACGACGTGGTCGGGCCGGTGTGTGAATCCGGCGACTGGCTGGCCCGCTCGCGCGAACTGGCCATCCACGAGGGCGACCTGCTGGCCCTGATGTCGGCCGGTGCCTACGGCATGACCATGGCCTCCAACTACAACACCCGTGGCCGTGCGGCCGAAGTACTGGTCGATGGCAGCCAGGTCCACCTGGTCCGTGCCCGTGAAAATCCGGCCGACCTGTTCGCGCTGGAAAAGATCGTGGACTGAAGCGGGTTATTGTCAGTCTGCCAAGCGGCAGTCCCGGAAACGGGGCTGCCGTTTCCTTTTGTGCATCATTCCGGGCGCGATTATTGATAGCCCGGCAAGTCCCGCTTGGCTTGGCTGCAGATATTTTTTGCAGAGCCGCATTTTTGTTTTGCCTTTCAGAAATTTCGGCGCAAAATAGCCATCCGTCCGAAAAACAACCGAAGCATCAGAACATGCCTGGGGGCAGAGCTGCCCGCAACGCGAGACCTGGCAAGCATTCACGGACGTGAGGGAGCACATCAGGGCCACCGGGACGGCGGTCGCTAGCGTAATACAGGGGAATTCCAATGCAAGTTCTGGAACGGTCAGAGGGAGATCGCGACCGTCGCGTCGCCAGCGAGGGCGTGGCGCAGGCCGGCCATGGCGATCCGTCCGGCCAGCTCATACACAGCAGTCAGTCCAGTCACGCCAGCCAGTCGCCGGCACCGGCGCGCGCTGCGTCCGTGCAGCCTGACCTGAGCGAAGAGGAACTGGAAGTCCGGGCCTCGCACATCACGGCTGCCGCTGTTGCCGCAGCCGCCGTCACGGCGGCGGTGGCCACCTCGGCCGGCACCGCCAGCCTGCCGTATGAAGACA